GAGCCAGAACTGGAGCATCCAGGATGGTTTTGGTGGGAAGGGATCTTCAAGACCCCCAGTCCCACCCTGTGGCATGAGCAGGGACACCTTCCTGTAGCCCAGGTTGCTCCAAACCCCATCCAGCCTAGCCTGGAAAACCTCCAGGGACCCAGGGGAAGCCACAGCTGCTCTGGGCTCCCTGTGCCAGGGCCAAACCAGGAATTCCTTCCCAATATCCCACCCAGCCCTGCCCTCTGGCAGTGGGAGCCATTCCCTGTGTCCTGTTCCTCCATCCCTTGTCACCAGGCCCTTCAGGCCCTGCAAGGGGCTCTGAGCTCTCCCTGGAGCCTTCTCCCCTCCAGGTGAGCACCCACAGCTCTCCCTAGAGCCTTCTCCTCTCCAGGTCAGCACCCCCAGCTCTCTCTGGACCTTCTCCCCTCCAGGTCAGCACCCCCAGCTCTCCCTGGAGCTTCTCCTCTCCAGGTCAGCCCCCCCAGCTCTCCCTGGAGCTTCTCCCCTCCAGGTGAGCACCCCCAGCTCTCCCTGGAGCCTTCTCCTCTCCAGGTGAGCCCCCCCAGCTCTCCCTGGAGCTTCTCCTCTCCAGGTGAGCCCCCCCCAGCTCTCCCTGGAGCCTTCTCCCCTCCAGATCAGCACCCCCAGCTCTCCCTGGAGCCTTCTCCTCTCCAGGTCAGCACCCCCAGCTCTCTCTGGAGCCTTCTCCCCTCCAGGTCAGCACCCCCAGCTCTCCCTGGAGCTTCTCCCCTCCAGGTGAGCCCCCCCAGCTCTCCCTGGAGCCTTCTCCCCTCCAGGTGAGCACCCCCAGCTCTCCCTGGAGCTTCTCCCCTCCAGGTGAGCACCCCCAGCTCTCCCAGCCCGGCTCCAGCCCTGGAGCATCTCTGTGGCCTCCTCTGGGCTCTCTGCAGCAGCTCCACGTCCTCCTGCTGTTGGACCCAGGGCTGGGGCAGCTCTGCAGGTGGGGTCTCACCTGAGCACCGGGACAGAGGGACAGAATCCCCCCTCCTTTCCTGCTGGGAGATCAGCCCAGGGCACGGGGGGTTTTGGGGCTGGGGCATGTCCAGCCTTTCCCAGCACCCCAGGGACCCCCTCCAGGCAGTCCCCCCACCCCGTGTCTGTGCTGGAGCCTGGCCCAGGTGCAGAGGATCGCTCGGTCCCACCTCCCCAGCCTGTCCAGGTCCCTCTGGGTGCCCCATCCCTTCCCTCACTCAACTCCAAGGCTGCTCCAAAGCAAATCCCACACTGGAAGCAGCAGCAGAATCACGAGCAAGGGACAACTCCAGGGTGGCTTAGAGGAATAAATTATAGGAACAACTCCAAAGGTCCATCCACGAGCCACGGCTGAGCTCTGCCACAGCACTCTCATCCCAAGGGAAGGCCTGCAGGAGCCCAGAGCTGGTCCAGGGCATTCCCACAGGGAGCACCATGGGCAGAACTGACTGGTGGGGATGGGTGGGAGAGGTGAGGGTGTGGAAATCGCAGCCTGACCCCAGGAAATGGCACAGATGAACGTGATGGGGCCAGCAGTGGTGAGCAGCAAACACCCACTGGTCACAGCCCCCCTTCCTGGGCAGATCGAGGGTTTGGGAACCCAAAGCAGCAGGGATAAACCAGACTGAGCCCAGCACGGGCTGCTGGGGCTCACCACAGCCCTGCTCACACCAGCAGGGGCACAAAACCTTTCAGAAAAGCAGAAAACCAAGTCTCCTCTCCCCTCTGCTCGTACTCCCCAGGGTGGGTGGGAAAAGCAAATGAGGTCATCAAGGCAAGGCTGAAAGAGCCCCGGTGCTCCCACGTGGAAAATTCTGTGCCAGCAGCAGTTCACAAACAACAGGAGAGCTCTGAGAGGGGCAGGGCAGGCTGGGCTGGGGCTGGGACACCACAGGGGCCGTGGAGCTGCTTCTCCTCACACCTCGTCCAAGGGCTCCTGTTCCCTCAACTGCTCGTGCCACCCTGTGACTCCACATCCCTGAGGAATAAAGAATCACAAATCGGCAAAGGAGGCTGGGAAGGGAAATTCTTCCTGGGGGCAGGGCAGGCCCAGCAGAGTCCCGTGTGTGAAAACAAGGTGCAGTCCTTGTGTCCACACCATTAAGGTACAATAATGTCAATATATCGCTCTCAGTCTGCAGAACCTTGGAACCACTGAATGGTTTGGGTTGGGAAAACCTCTGAGCCACGGAGTCCATCCTGTCCCAGCAGCGCCAAGGCCACCACCAACCCACGTCCCCAGGCACCACACCCACAGGGATGTGGAATCTCCCCTCGGGTGGGCACTCCACCACTGCCCTGGGCAGCCCTTTCCAGCAGGAAGTTCCCCAATATCCCACCTAAACCTCTCCTAGCACAACTTGAGGCTGTTTGCCTGTGTCCTGTTGTTTCCTGAGAGCACAACCTGACCCTCACCTGGCAGGGAGTTGTGCAGAGCCAGAAGGTCCCCCCCGAGCCCCCTTTTCTCCAGGCTGAGCCCCCGGGTCAAGCAGGATACCTGCCTGTGCTCCACCAGCGTTCCAGGCTCCCAGTTCCCGCTCTGCCCACCGGGACAGTGCCCCCCTGATGGCCCTGCCCTCCAAACCAGAGATCGGGCACAGCTCCGAGGGTCCCACACAGGGCTGGGCTCTGACAAAGTGATCAGGGAAATAAAAAATAGCGATGGCTCTTCGGCAGAGCGCGGGAAGCTCCCCGTGGGTACAAAGCCCAGCAGAGCTGAGGGCAGCGAGAGGAGAGTGCATCTCCAGCGCCCAGCTCCTTCCTGCACGTCACGAAGCATCTGTGAATGTGCACAGACACAGCTCCTCCACAAAACTTCCTCCACTCGGCAGTCAGGAAGCCTTCCTGCCACTCCGGCTCTCCTGGAACAGCTGTGCCGCCCTTGGGAAGGCCAACCCACCCTTCCCACTGCTCCAGCTGGAAAATCCCTGCGGATGGAGAGCACAGCACCGAGACCCAGAGCGCTTGTGCGGAGATGGCACTGGGGGGTTCCACTTCTCCCACACCTGCCCAGGAGGATGAACCCCCCTGGGCCAGGTCCGGGCAGGGCAGCACTGCTCCAAAAAGCTCCTGCACAAGGTCAGCATTGAAATCCTCACCATTAAACACGACTCTTTGGCCAGAACAGATGGAAGGAATTTCACAATATCCCACCCAAACCTCCCCAGCCTGAGGCCGTTCCCTCTCCTCCTGTTCCCGTTCACTGGGAACAGAGCCCGACCCCCCCCCCGGCTGTCCCCTCCTGGCAGGAGTTCTGCAGAGCCACAAGGTCCCCCCTGAGCCTCCTTTGCTCCAGGCTGAGCCCCTTCCCAGCTCCCCCAGCTGCTCCTGGTGCCCCAGACCTTCCCAGTTCTATTCCTGTCTCCGAACACACTCCAGCTCCTCAATGTCCTCCATTTCATGAGGGTCAGGGTCAGGCATCCTGGTGTGGGGAAGGTGTTTTCCAGACAGGAGGAGGGAGCAGGAGTGGGGGGAAAGGGTGTGTGGGTGTGGAAGCACCTGGCAGCACCGAGGGACAGAAGGGCAGGTGCTGGCAGAGCAGCTTATCAGTCAGGAGCAGGTTATCAAGATCTCAGCAAAGCCCAGGCTGGGAATTCAGGCCGGGAGATGCAGCCCCAGGCTGAGCTGAACGCTGGGGCTGGGTCTTTAACCGGGGAGAAGGGAGATAAGGGGCAGATAAAGGCTTTGGCCTTGGCTGGGCCTCTTCCCCTCCGGTGGCGTATCTGTCCCCCAGCCTAGTCTGGGGTCAGGATTCACCTGCCGGCTCTGCTCCCTGACAGACAGGCTGACTCCAGCCCCAGTTTTGGGGAGGGACTCCAGCCCCAGTTTTGGGGAGGGACTCCAGCCCCAGTTTTGGGGAGGGACTCCAGCCCCAGTTTTGGGGGGGCACGCCTGACGCTGCACCCCGGTGTAGGGAGATGAGCTGAAGTGAACTAACCCCCTTCTCTGGAGAGGAGGAACCGCACTCTCCTGCGCCCGGGGTGGGCTCTGAGGGCAGCCCCGACACCCCACCAGTGACCCGGCGAGTCCCCGTTCCTGCAGGAGCTCCGGGCCAGCGCCCCGGGGTCACCATGCTGCGACCTGCGGGGCTGTCACCGGCACCAGCTCCGGGACCCAGACCAGCAGAACCCTCCGGGAGCCTCCAGCGCCCGCGGGGCGGCTGTCGGCAGCGGGACATCGGACCGCGGGACGGGACTGCCCCAGGGCACAGCCCGGTTCTCCACACCGGGACACGAAGAGCCCGACTCCTGCCCCAGACACCCCAGAGCAGGGCACGGTGAAACCCACAGCAGCAGCCGCACCGGGGCACGATGAGATCGGCTCCCCACACCGGCGTGGCGAGCCCGGAGCCCGCGCACCTGGGCACGGTGAGCCCGGTCCCCGCACGGGCACAGCCCGCACCGAGACGAGGCGAGCCGGGCTTTCCTCACCGAGACAAGGAGAGCTCGGCTTTCCTCACCGGCACAGCCCGCACCGAGACGAGGCGAGCTCGGCTTTCCTCACCGGCACAGCCCGCACCGAGACAAGGCGAGCTCGGTTTTCCTCACCGGCACAGCCCGCACCGAGACAAGGCGAGCTGGGCTTCCCGCACCGAGACAAGGCGAGCTCGGTTTCCCTCACCGGCACAGCCCGCACCGACACAAGGCGGGCTCGGTTTCCCTCACCGGCACAGCCCGCACCGAGACAAGGCGGGCTCGGTTTCCCTCACCGGCACACGAAGCGCTGTGGCATGGCGAGCTCGGCTTTCCCCATCGGCACAGCCCGACCAGGGCATGACCGAGCCCGGCTCCCTGCGCCTCCGGCCGCCCCCGGGGACTCGCTCCCCGCATCGCCCTCCGGCCGCGTCCATCGCCGTGCCCGGGCACCTGCGGGCGCTGCCCGTGCCCCGCACAGCCCGGGGCCCCGCAGGGCCCGGCGGCGGCGTCCCCATCCCCATTCCCCGGCATCCGCATCCCGTCTCCCGGCGTTCCATGGCCGCCCTCCGGCATTCCCGACCCGCCGCGCCCGGCTCCCACCTGCTCGCGGCGCTTCTGCCAGCGGCCGCAGGGACTCTCCTCCAGCACCTCGCTCTCCTCCTCGCTCTCCTCCTCCTTCTCCTGCGCCAGCCGCGCGTCCGGCTCCGGCACCGCCATCCCCGCCGCGAACCGCGCTCTGCGAGCTGTGCCGGGCTGTGCCGAGAGCTGCCGGGCTCTGCCGGGCTCTAGTCCGACCCGATCCGCTCCGATCCGCTCCGATCCGACCTGAGCCGCCCTGAATCACGTCGAGCCGAGCTGATGCGCGCCGAACCGAAGCGAACCCAACGGAACCAAGCCGAGGGGAGCGAAACGGAGCCGAACCGAGCCAAGTGGCACCGCACGGCTCTGCACCGCCTCGAGCCCCACCGCGCTCTGCCGGTGCCGCGCGGGGCCGGCCCGGTCTCGTCCCGCCCCGCTCCGGACGTGCGGCCGCGCACGCCCCGCCCCGCCGGGAGGGGCCCCGGCACCCCCGGTGCCTCCCGCACCCCCGGTCAGCTCCCGCACCCCCTGTGCCTCCCGCACCCCCGGCGGCTCCCGCACCCCCGGGCAGCTCCCGCACCCCCGGCGGCTCCCGCACCCCCGGGCGGCTCCCGCACCCCCGGGCAGCTCCGGCACCCCCGGGCAGCTCCCGCACCCCCGGTGCCACCCGCACCCCCGGTGCCACCCGCACCCCCGGGCAGTTCCCGCACCCCCGGCAGCTCCGGCACCCCTGGTACCACCCGCACCCCCGGTGCCTCCCGCACCCCCGGGCGGCTCCCGCACCCCCAGCAGCTCCCGCACCCCCGGCGCCTCCCGCACCCCCGGCACCCCGATGCGCCGCCGGGCTTGACCCGCCCCGGGGCCGTCCGGTGCGTGTCCGTGTCCTCCCCCCAGCAGCCGCCGGTTGCCCCCACCCGGGGCCTCGGGGCTTGTCCCACCCCTCGGAGCCCCTTTCCCGGGCCCGTCCCACGCCGGTGGTGCTGCCTTGCCCAGCCTCCCCCGGCCGCAGCCCCCTCCAGCCCAATCTCGGGGGGCTCTGCCCGCTCCCCGCACCGTCCCTGGACGTGCCCGGGCCACCGCGGCATCTCTCCGAGCAGCTCCGCGCCACTGCCGGGCTGGACCTCTGCGGGACCCCCTCGCCGGGCCCTGGGCACCCCGAAAAGTCTGGACCAGCCCCCACCCGGCGCCCAACAGATGTTTTCATTCCATGAGAAGTCTCTGGCTCGTTAGATGCTTTTATTTTTTTTTTCTTTTTCTGGCCGTCTCCAGTTACTTTTAGCCCGACCGTTCGTTGTCCCACCCTTCTTCCGTGCTGTACTGGCGCCTGGCGGGGTTTGGGCTCGTCCTCCCCCTCCGGGCTGCGGCTGCTCTGGGCGCCGCGGTTAACCGAGAGGACCACGGCGAGGGCGGCTCTGGGCGAGGTGACACGGGAAGTGCACACCAGGTATGGCACACAACATCCCGGCCCGGCACAGGGGAAGGCAACAGGAGCTGTTTCCTGGCGTGGGCCACCACCAGGTCCCGCTGGGCCACCACCTGGGCTGCTCTGACTGCGGCACCAGGGGAGATGCTGCCTCCAGCTGCAGCCCCGTGTCTGAGCCCACCTGGGTAAGTCCCCACTGCCAGGGTGACCCCGAGCTGGCCTGGCCAAGGCTCCCCCATCCTCACCCCCTGGGCCACGGCCACCTCCCGGCACCCATCCAGCCCCGTCACACCATCGCACCCTGTGCCCGTGCCAGGTGCCACGAGCTCCCACGGCGGGTGACCTTGTCCCATGCGTGCCAGGCAGGGCTGGAAGGGAAGTCAACCCCTGGCTCTTATCACAGTGAAGTCTGGGAATAAGTTCAAGGACAAGGGATAAAAATATTGCAACCAAACACAAACCGCACACCACACCCAGGCACCTTTCCCATCTCCACAGCCCCTGCAGCGCTCCGTGACCACCTCCCAGCCTCGGCTGACTCCAGCTCCCCACGGCGCTCCTGTGACCGCCTCCTGGCGTGGCTGCATCGTGGAACTGCCTTTCATCACCTCCAGCACCCCTGAAAAGCGATGAACAATGACTTGGCAGAGCTTGCTGATGCTGCTGGAGTTTCTGGGTGGTTGGGCTACAGTGCTGGCTCTGGTGGCACAGGGAGGGGTGGCAGAGGTGTGGACGAGCTTTCGTGTGAAACCAGTTACTCAGCTGGGAGAGCACCCGGGCTGGGGACGTGGGGAGGGCACAGGAGGAGGCTCCTCACCATCCCCACCTCCCCTCCCTTCCCCAGTTCCCCCCTCGTGTGCTGGGGAGCGCACAGCAGAGCACACCTGCCCTGCTCTTTCCACACAGGGTGACAGCTGGGAAGCCCAATGGAACACACCCGGAGGAGGGAAATCTTTGACTGTTCCTTGGGGTGAGTGTTTGGTGTGATAGGCAGCGGAATTTGTTGCCAGAGGGTGTTTGCAGCAGCCCAAGTTGATTTTAAAGGGATTTTAAAAAGCCATTAGGCAAATTTGTGGGAGAGAAATTGATTGAGGGCTATTAACCAGAGATACAGATGCAGCTTCTGGCTCCAGAGGCTCCGTGCTGGGCATTGCCAGGAGCTGATGGAACACAGCCTGGCCCCTGCTCAAGCCCTTGTGCTGTTCCTCTCGGGATCCACTGGTGGAAATGGGGTGCAGGGATGCAGGGACACGGTGGGCTCAGGTCTGAGCTGGGGAGCTGCTTCCAGCTTTCCATGGGGAAGATTTGGTCTTCCAAGGCTCTCTGGGGATCTCCCACACCTTGTCACCCACATGGGGGACACGTCCATGGCTGGAGGTTCCCATGTCCATGGCCTGGCCCAGCCCAGCAGCTCCTGCGGGAGTCCTGAAGGTCCTTTGAGGCACATAAATCGCAGCCAGCAGCAGTAGCTGGCTGGGCCCTGGATCTCCTTGTCCGAGGTTGGTCACTTGAAGTGCAGCATTCCTGGTGTGGTGATCCTCAGCTCCTTTGGACGGGTGTTCCCCCAGCAGTGACCATCTCCTGTGTTCCCACTGCCCATCACCCCTGTCCAGCATCACCTCCTCATCCTCAGTGTCCCATCCGTGGATTTCTGTTGCTGGGGGACACACAGCAGTACCTGCCCTGCTGTTCCTTTCCAGGCAGGAGTCACACGGTGCATCCTCCTCTGCTTGTCCCAAACACCAAATCACCAAAGACAGGAGAAACGGCTCCATCCTGGTGGCCTCCACGCTCTTGTGGGGAGTGTGACCTCCTGCAGTATCTGCCTGCCCCTGCTGCTCCCAGGGCTCCAGCTGGGAATTCTGAGAGGGAGCAGGGCCCGGGCAGTGCAGGCAGCGTGGGCTTGAGCCCTGCCCGTGACTACTGTCCTGAGGCCGTGGGACCCACAGGGCTCCACACCCACACCCAGAGCCCCAGGCTCTGCCTGCCCGGAGCTGCCCTGCACCACAACAACCCTGCCAGAGCGTCCAGGTGTGCCCAGGTGGGCAACAGCCCCCAGCTTGTTCCAGCCACAGCGTGGCTACAGGCCCAGGGCACAGCCCCCTGTGCTGGGATCGCTGGGGCACCTCCAGTCCTGGGGCAGTTTTGTGCCTCTCCCTCGGGAAAAGAAGGACACTGAAGGGCTGGAGCATGTCCAGAGACCGGAATGGAACTGGGAAGGGTCTGGAGCACCAGGGGAGGCTGAGGGAGCTGGGGGCACTCACCCTGGAGAAAAGGAGGCTTGGAGGGGGGAGAGACCTCATTCCCAAGACGTCCCTGACAGGAGGGGGCAGCCAGGGGGGTCAGGCTCTGCTCCCAGAGAACATGGAAAGGAGGGGGAACGGCCTCAGGCTGTGCCAGGGGAGGTTTGGGTGGAATATTAGGAAAATTCCTTCTTGGAAAGGGCTGCAGCCCTGGCACGGCTGCTCAGGGAAGGGGGGGAGTCCCCATTCCTGGAGGGATTTAACAGCCGTGTGCATGTGGCACTTGGGGACATGGTCAGTAGTGGCCTTGGCAGTGCTGGGGACAGCTTGGCCTGATGGGCTCAGGGGGCTTTTCCAGCCCAAACCATTCCATGATCCTCATGCCCAGGATCTGGCTGCATTTCCCTCACCAGCCCCTCCGAGGCCATTTCCATTGGGAATCCCCAGGTGTGGGGCAGCTGCAGAGACCTTTAGTGCCAGACTCTGTCCCTTCCCTCTGCCAGCCCCTCTCAGGTTGTCCCCCTGCCCGGTCTCACCTTCTCACACCACAGTTTGCAGTCAGGGAGCCCGGGAAGGTTCAGTGCCTCTGGCACCAGGGCTCCAGCAGGGAATGCTGCTGGCAGGGAGCTCACCTGGCTGTGCTGCCACCAACCTGTCCTTCCCCAGCTCCTTCCTGGCTGCCCCGAGCACAGGAGCAGGCCGGAGCCCTGCCTGAGGAGCTGGGGGATCTCAGCAGTGAGATTATGGGTGTAAAGGTCCAGGTTTTGGTTTCCATCCAGGATTGTGGTGTGTGGGAGGCCAGGCAGGCAGGATTTGCTGCTGGGGGCGAGTTCTGTCTGCACGGCCCTGGGCAGGCGGCGCTCGGAGGGTGGAGCTGGGGCTCCTGTCACCTCTGTCACCTCTGTCACCTCTGTCACCTCTGTCACCCCTGTCCCCCCTGTCCCCAGGCACCCTGGGCTCCCTCCAGGGCTGGGCTCGGACCAGAACCTCCGGAGCTCAGGGTGCTGCTGAGCCTGCAGGGCTGGCAGGTGCAGGGCGGCTGACACACCAGACCTGGGGGTGTCCCCCCAGGGGTGATCCCCCAGGGATGTGCACCCCTCCTGCAGCTCCTGGTGTCATTTAACCCGGGTCCCAGCTAGGGATCCCCCCTGAAGGTGCTCTGACTGCAAGCTGGCAGCACCCGTGGGCGCTCCCGAGCCCCTGTCGGGAGGTCAGTCTGATTTTATCCCTTCTGGCAGCTCCGCAGCGTTGGGGGAACAGCCCAGCACAGTGGGACCGTCACCCCGGGAGGAGCTGGGACCCCCAGCCCCGACCCTGAGCTGGGTCCGTGGGGCTGGGAGGTGCCGGGGCTGGGGGACGCTCCCTGCCTCCCTTCCCCTCTCGCTGCCGGGAGGCCCCTCTCGGCGTGCGCCTATTTTTATCCGCCTTTGATGGATGGGGCCGGGGTGTGATGATGTCATGTGTTGTTGCACAGCTCGAGGTTGAAGGTTTAGGTGCCAAAGCGGCTCCGTGGATCTGGCAAACATCTTCCCGCTGTTCCATCTGTCGGAGCACGGTTGTGCAGGGGCTCTGAGGGCCCGGATCCCTCTGTGTGGCTGATTCCGCCAGGTTTTAACCTGCCCTGCTCCGCAGCTCCTCACCTGCAGCATCGCCTGTGCAGGGCAGGTTAAAACCTCCTCACCTGCAGCATCGCCCGTGCAGGTGTGGACCCCGCAGGTGTCAGCAGCCAGCTCAGGTGCGCGGATTAGGGGGGTGCAGGTCAGCAGGGACCCAACAGCACGGGATCAGAGC